ACATATGCATTAGCTTGTAGGTGTGTGATGGTTTGGATAAGTTGTGCTGTAGATGTTAGAGGGAGAGCTATATTGTTAGCTAGGAATAGTAGGTTGTGTTTGATTAAAATAGTGCTTAGACAAGTAGTTAAGATTTTTGTGAAGATATTCCAAGAGTATTCGATCAAGGTAATGGGGCAGGTTAGGCTTAGGTCTCCACTTTGGTAGCCTTTCTTAGATATTGGCCAAACTAGGCCTTTGTGCCAGGTATTAGAGGTTATTTGTAAATTAATACAAGTATTGAATATTTTTGCTAGTACTTCTATTGTGATGAGTGGTAGCTTTTTTAGCATTTCATTTGAGACTAGGAAGGGGCCTGTTGCTTTATTGTTTAATTGTTTCTTGGATTACATATGGTGTTATAGTGGTAAGCAGGTCACTATAGGTCAAGGAAGTAATTGTATTGAGAGGTTTATAGTAGAGTGCCTATTGTGACCACAAGTTTTGGTCATAGGGGTTGTGTTTGGTCCATCTGCAGAAGTGTTGTGTGGTAGCTTCTTTGATATTGGTAAGTAAGCTAAGTATAGTATTATTAGTTGTAATATTATAAAAGGTAATGGGGGTGTAAGTATGCTTGAGAATGCTATCAATCATCTTAAATATATTATCCTGGAAGTTAGTATATTGTTGGTTGATATATGATTAGATTTGTTCATGTTTGTGACTATTATTTTTGGTGTTGTGTGCCATGTAGAGAGTTTTTTTGAGGAGTTTAAGTTGAGAGATAGTTTGTAGGTATGAGTATGATTCAAGATTGTCAAGTTGAAGTAGTTTGCAGTTTGATTGGGTAAGCAGATTAATTTTAGTAAGAAGGTAATTAATATGACTTGTTATATATACTGGGTAGTAAAGAATAGGGTGATTGGTTATAATAAAAATATGGTTTGTTAGTTTTAGTGTTTAATGTAAGGTGGTGGCTTTAAAGATATGAGTGTAAAATATTTGTAAAGTGGTAAAGATATATGATATAAATTTATCTGCAGCTTGTTTAATTATATTGATTAGATTGTTGAAAGTTTTATTGAGTGTGTTGTAGTTAGTTATAGGCAGGTTGGGTAATAATAATGCCTTGAAGTGAGTTGAAATAAATGCTAAGTACTGATCCTAATCTTCTTGTAATGTTCTAGCATAGTTGTAAATTTTTTGGTATTGTTTTTTGTGGTATGTGGTTTTGTATATTGGGGTTGTGTTCCAGGTTGTCTTGACAATTTGATGGTCGCTATTTGTTGAGTTGAAGGGGTCGATTAAGTCAGGGGTAGAGAAAGTTAGTATAATCTCTAGTGTTGTTCAGATATTATTAATTTGGCTAGAGGATTTATTTTTTTACTATATGGGTTTAGTTATATTGTAGAGTTAAATGAGGCTAATGAAGGAGGGGTGTTTGTTTATGAAAGTTGGGTCTGTTGGTGTTGTTGTTAAAGTCACTAGCTATTATTATATTCATATTGTGAGAGCAGCCATTGCTTATTTAAGAGATAATTGTTTGTTGTATAGTGTGAGATTGGGTTGATGTTGCTGATGGTAGGTAGGTTGTAATTAATCGAGTTTTATTATTGCTAAGTAGGAATAGATCAATTAGAAGTGCAAAGCCAGGTATAGTAGTTATTTTATAAATATAGGGTTGTAGTTTGGGTTTAAGTGCTATCGCTACGCCTTTTGATGATTTTCTAATATTTGCATTTATCGAGTTATAGTTAGAAGTGTAAAGTTTGTATAGTGGGTTGGTTAAGTGTGTGGTACATATGGTTGATGCTAGCAGTTTGGTTTCAGTCATGAATACAATGTATATATTGTGTTGATGATATTCCTCAAGCCATAACTAGAGTTTGAGGTCCTGGTTAATACCTTGTATATTGTGGTTAAAGATATTAAGAGAGAAGATTGGTATTAAAGTGTTGGGGTTTGTATTCAAGTTATAGAGTAGAGTGGTACTGGAATTTGGTAAGTCAGTTATTAGTAATTCTGTTGATGGAAAGTCATTAATAGTCAGAGGTGTAATGTTTATATTAAGTCTATTGATTGATCTGATATGCAGTTATTTTTTGTGGTTGTGGTCTAAGTGGGGTGGCATGGAGTGGTAATCTTGGTCAAGATATTGTAAGGAGTATAGTTGTCGAAGATAGACTATTTGGGTTTTGGTAAGTCTAGTAGGTTAAGTAGATAGTCTAGCACTAGGTTAAAATTGAAGTGTTCTTTAAGTTTATTTATATTATCAGTTACTATGAGGTAGTTTTGGCAGAAGAAGGCTAAAGCAAGAGTTGAGTTAATTTGTTGAAGTTGTTGGTTTAGTTTTTTAAGGTTTTGGGGCAGCATTGGTTTGTCTTTGTGTTCTCTTGGGCCTGTTTTATGTAAAATATTTATCCAGCTTAAGGGAATTTTAGTAAAATAGTAGTAATTTCTTAGTTTTCTAGTGATATCTACAAGTTGCTTGAGTAAGGTGATTGGGATTGTAAGGTTTATTTGGGTAATTAAACATAGATCTGTGGGTAGTTCTGGTTTGTCAGTAGGGTTGACAAGTATATATTTTTTTGGTAAGAGGAGATTGAAACTATATTTTCCTTGAATTTCAGCTAGAAATCTTTTTGCTAGTAATTGGGTAAGTGTAGATATATTTAGTTTTGATTGTGTTAGGATCGAAAAGTAGATAAGGGAGTTTGATGATATAATTGCTTAGAAGTTTTCTAAAGCCATAATAGGGCCAAAGTAGGTTTACAAATTTTTTAATATCTTCTGTATCTTTTGGTCTGCAGAGGAAGAGATGACAAAGGTTGTGAGGAAGTTGTTGGGGTGAAAGTGGAAGTGGTGGTTTTGGGTCTGGTAGTTGAAAGTAGTTAGGTAGAATTTTATCAAAGTTGTATAATTTTTTAAGCTTTCTCTGGTATTCGGACAAGCAAGGGAGTGCAGAGTGGTTAGTAATAGAGAATAGATCTTTGATGGTAAAGTGAAGTTTGGTGGAGTTGCTAGGAAGTTCAAGTCATGCTTTTGCAAAATATTCATTTGGTAGTTTTTCAAATTTGTATATTTTTCGTAGTGCTGCTGTGATTGCTCTTGTGTAGTTTGTTTTTTTTATGAGTAGTTTAAAGAGTAAGTTGGATAAAATATTATCAGTGATTTTTTTAGGTGTGTCTGGAAGAAGGTTAAAACATTCTGTATTTATAGTTCATATGAGTTTTCAGAGGTCTTCAAAGCTTGTAGATATGTTAATTTTAGCAAAATTGGTATAGTAGTAAATCTTTCGTGCAATATCATATGGGTTGGTTTTAATGAGATTAATGTTGGTAATATAATCAGTTGCTAGTTTGATCTTAAGTTTTTGCAAGATTTGGTTTTTGTTATTTTTATTGATAAATTAAGTGTTGTGTTGGCATTTATATTTTTCGAGGGCCATATTGTATAGAGTTTCAAATTCTTTTTGGTAAGAGTGAGTGGTCTGTTTATCACGAGTAAAGGATTTGAAGAAGGCTATATCAAGGTAGTTAAATTTAACTTGTATTGCTGTAGGTAAGTTTAAACAAGTAAATTGTCTAGTAGCAAGAAAGGTATATAATTAGGTTGCATCTTTGAATGCATTGAGTATAGTTTCATTAGTTTAAGTATTTGAGTCAAAGGGTTTGTTTCGGCTTGCTATTGTTTGGATACTCTATAGTGCTGATAGTTTGGGGTGGGGGTTTTCTTGGCAAATAATTGTGATTGGAGCACTTGGCTATAGGTACAAGGTGGATTTGGTAGTGGTCAGGCAGTTGGTTTGGTGTCTGGAGATTCTTGGGAGTGGTCCCAGTTTGGTGTAGAGTCTTGATTTTGTATGGAGGCTGGGTGTATTTGGGGCATTGCTTCTGAATTTGGTTTGTTTTGGTTAAGTGGTGGGAATATTTCCATTAGATCAGGGTCTGTTGGTGCGAGACCTGACAGGTTTGGGCTTGTTGTTTTGTTGTTTTGGTTGGGAGGTGTCATGTGATCATTGTTGTGTTGTGGATGATTAGCAGGTAGGGGTAAGCTGTTTTGCCCACTTTTTCGAGTATATGAAGTTGGGGGTTAGTATGGTGAGCTTTAGAAAAGTTGTTTCTCTTTGTTGTGTTAGGTGTTGGTTGTGATGCTATTGTAGGTGGGTTTTCTGGATCATGAGTCATATCTATTTGGGCAGTGCCAAATATTGAGTCTATAACTGATTTGAGGATAGATTTTCTTTGTGACATTGTAGTAGATAACTCCGTGAGAAGTGGGGCAAGTGTATTGGGGGCCTCGTTGGTTTCTTTTAGGTTCTCTATTTTTGTTTGTTAAGTTTTCTCTTGTGTTTGTGACTTGGATTAACTAACAATTCTAGTATCAAATACTTAGGTTTACTAAACTTTTTTCTTGTTTGTTTACTTTTTTAATTTTTTTTAGTGATTTACAGATTTTAGTTATTAACTTTTTTGAAGTCAATACTTTTAATTTGAAATATCTATTTAGAAGTTTCTTAATATAATAGTTAAATATCTTATCAAAACACTAATATCTTCTCTCTTTATATTCAACATTGTAAAAATCAACTTTTTATAAAAAAATAAGCATTTTATATACGTTATTAAATTGTCCTCTTTGCTAACATTTTTTTAAAAAAATATATAAAAATTACTTGAATAATTCACTATAGAAAATATCAACATGCCAAAAACCATTAAACATTATTTATTTGACAATTTTTGCCCAATAATGTATACATTCACAACATTTATTAAACATGTCCCATAACTCTTTAGTTTAATAAATTACAATATTTTGTTATATTTTATATATTTTATTAAATAATTAATTATTAACTTAATAAATCAATTACATCTAATCATAACCATATATAAGTACAAATTTGGCATATTACATAATTAAAAAAGGCTACGATCAGTATTCGATAGTAAGTTTTACTTACAGGTTTTTGCCTTACAGCGCTCATGTATACCCAAAAATATTAATTGAAGTATACTTTATGAAATATCACCAAAATCATCACCAATAACGTAAACCAATTGATCTTCAAATTCATCTTTTGGAGATCCTGCTAGCACACCTTCAATCTTTTCATTATAAAGATTTTTTTCGTTGATGGAGTCATCTTTGTCAACCGATAGGTTTTTTTCATTATCAAGCTCTGAATTTATGGCTGACCAAATAAGATCTTTTGATATTGATGAGGTCGGAGATGTTGTAACTGGAGATGTTGTCGGTGATATTGCAGTATTGATAGTTGATGTTTCCGACGTCTCTGCTGTTGGGACTGACTTGTAGGACTTTTTACGGGCATTTTTAATGCTGAGAAAAATAAATTCATATTAAATTTAATTTAATTTCACTGACCCAAAAAAAATAAATGTAAAGATAAATACGCTTCGTAGTCAACCAAGGAGGAAATTCCTTTGCTTATGTTGGACCAAGCTTGAGAAGTGAGATCTGCGGTTTTTTGCCGAGTTTGTTGAATCCTATTAATAAAAATTATTAGTTAAAAGGATTATTAACGTAACGAGGAATAATGTAAAGTGATTAATACTTACGACCGAATATTTGCAACCTCCGAAACGGCCGTTTTAATCTGCGATAACTTTTCACGAGTTCTAAAATTTAATTGGTATAATTCAATTCAAAAAATTTATAGGAATGCTAAATTTACCTATCAAAAGAAATTATAGCTTACGTTTCGCTTTCTTTCAAATTATGTATACCATCTATAACACTATGAATTCCCTTCCCTAAACCATTCATAAACCCAGTAACTTCAATATTATTAGAAATGTTCGACGGAATCGAAAATATTGAGGATGCATATGAAGTATTTTCAGCATTTATATCCTTGGAGGCAATGGCTTGCCATTGTTTCTTTAATAATAGTAATTCTTCTTCGTGACGTTTCAACTCTTCACGAAGTTCCAAAACTTTACGTTCTTTGCTTACTATGTACTGTAGCAGTTCATCACGTTGTTCAGAAGGTGATGAATGAGTTACTCGAAGGTTTTTAATAGCGCGTTCTTTCTAATCGTAAAATTGGTTTATTAGAACGGGGAATTGTAATATTCGACTTCTTGGTCCCTCCGTGTTATTATTAGTTTTTATCTTGAAATAACAATATTCAGTATATAATAAAGGAGAAACCTTACCTCTTCACTATTTTCATCAATATTTTTTTCATTTATTACATCCTTTTTATCAACTAATTCTATGTTTTCACTTTCCAGCATATTGAAATGATTTACCGCAAAACTTTACAATAGCTGATTTTTTTGATTTTTTATAGTTTGTATTTATCATCAGGTGCATCAGGTGCCCAATTACATAAATCGTTAAATATCATGCATGCAACTTAAAGTTGGATATGAACTTGATTTGAACATGCTACATTATTGTTGTGTCGGGGAAACCGTCCAATAATAGATAATTTGTAACTTTCACGATTTATTTTTTTGTACTGTACACAGCCATGATAAAAATATTTACTTTTAAAAAAAACTTTGATTTTCAACTTTGTCAGTATAGCCACAGTTACAGAATTAATAATAAAATACAGTAATTTGGTATCGTAATAGGGATTTGAATAGAAATAATGAGAGAAATGCTTCGATAGGATGAACAAAAATAAATTTTTTGCATCCGTTACGTTAATGAAAATCTTTTATATGCCAAGTAACAAAGCCCCGCTTTTTGCAACCTCAATCTATTAATATACCAACTTGGCTATACACAACTATGAGAAAGATAAGCAGAAATTTAAAAAAAAATTTTATACGTAGTAAAAATTTTCAAAGCAAAAGCTTTAAACTTTTATTACTCTAAAGATTTATAGTAAAATTAAAAATTTTATAATAAAGTTTATAGAATTTGATTTAAATAGAATAAAAATACAGTGAAACCTCCTAAATGCCCGTTCTTTGGACTGAACTTTAACAACGTGCATTTAGAGAACAATAAGAAAAGTGCATTTATAGAGGTCATGCATATATTTTGGCCAGAGGTTGAGCGTGCATTTAGAGAGAGGGTGTGTATTTTATAGAGGGTGCATTTATAGAGGTTTCACTGTATATATATTTTAAATATATTATTAATATTTTTAATTTTATTTAAAAAATTGCAAATAATTTTAAAATTTCAGACAAATTTGCCTGAAATACAGATTAAAATATACATAATATTTAAAAAGTTTACTAAATATTATTCTAAATTATTAATTAAAAATTATTTTATTATATAAATTATATAATAAATTTACAGTATATATATACAGTATATATTTATTATTATCCCTGTTGATAATATTTCATCTAGTTATAGTCCTACCTCTCTACCTATTAATATCTCCAATTCTATTGCATCTAACCCTTTTCATAAAGTAGAAATTTGGTATACTAACTGGATCAAATTTTCTTCACACCCCTCTTACCTATCCCCAAATCTAGGTGAGCCTTGGCCACTCTGGTAGGTTTAGGCCGCAGATAAGTATTTAGGTTTACTTAGATATATGTCTGAGTTCTTTTTCTTAG